GGCTGTGTGCAGAAGGGAATTACAATATTCTGGTTCAAGATCAAGCCTTGATCAGAGAAAGCATGTCTCATTAATAAAATCAGAAGCATGGATGTTGAGCCCGTATCCTAGATGTCCCCTCCTTAGAAGCGTGATGCTTGCCTTAAGCCGTCCCAGACCCGACGTATTGCATTACGGCTTCTATCATCCCCGGCCAGGAATGATGGGATCTTTAGTCAGCACATCTGAAGGGCAGCAGGTTGAAAAGGCTGCATCAGTAGCAAAGGATTCTGTACATGCCCAGAAGTAGCCTGTTTCGGTACACCTTCACTTTTACAAGGATCTTCCCTAGCACCAAAAGAGGATGCTGGGCAAAGCCTGAGGGTGCAAAACAGCCCTAAAAGGATCCGGGGGGTGGGGGCGGGTGAGCTCTCTGGCTGCTCTTTATCCTCTCTGCATGTTCCTGCACACACACATCTGCCACACTCTCCCCAAAGCCCCAAGGATCACTGCCTGCATGTGTGGTTATGCCGTTTAGCATTCCATCACGCACTCGCTTTCTCCTAATCACTGCTAGGAAGCCGGTGCCTTTACCGGCAACTTCAGACCTGCCAGGAACAGCTAACGGCCCTGACTGCGCATGATTAGCTCATAAACACCACCCCAGCCAGGAAAGGGAAGGAAGCACAGTGCCAGGACGCTGGGGCTCGGTAGCCAGGAGTGGGGGTCTGGAGGGGCGGAGGAGAGCAAGCTGTGTCGGGATGCCGGTGTGCCAAGAAACGAGGACAGTGAAGTTTTATTGGCTGACCACTGGCAGTTTTAGGTAGGGTGGCAGAGCTGAGTAACGGTAAAACAGAGAGCTAAGGGAAAGTCTGTGCTCTCCATTGCCCGTCTTCATGCTGAATGTGCCAACTCCGTAATTTCTGATCACACACACAATTGCGTAGATGCATGCACCCGGCAGAGAAACGTCGCTGTTGAATGCATCTCCTGTGCATCTCCACCACAGTCCTTCGAACCAAGCTTATATTTCAAGGCTGGTTAGCACAGAAGCAAAACTGAGTCTCTTTCCATGTTAAAACTCCTTTGTAAATGTTTACTGAAAATTATAAGCTACCATGTTAATTATAAACATGGTATTTGCATCCTTGTTTAGCAGTCAGTACACACACACGCCTGCATACATAGCACTGGACACACGCGTGTGTGCATGTGTACTTGCATGTGTATTCGCCCTAAGCACACTGAAATCTTTAGCCTGTACACATCAGATTGGGAGACCTGGGTAGTGCCATGTGTACAAACCCTGCACACTTACAATAAATGCATACAACGCTCACAGTGCACGCCCCTCATATTTCAGATAATATGTGCAGAAACATTGTATATGCATACATGAAGGTATTTGTGCCCATGTACATACACCAGGGATATACATGTATATCTCACACTGGAATATAGGCACTGACATACCTCCACACACACAGAGCATTGTCCTTAAGAATCCATGCATCAGTTAATCATGCAGAGACACGTTAATCAATTTAATAGTTCACGCAGCGTACATAGTTTACATAATGCAGGGTCCATCATGCAGGCGTCGCTGTACACATGCAGGCAGGTGTAGAACTTGGTACTGGTTTGAACAAATACTGCTTTTAAAGATTCTGTACAGGTTTTTTATCATCTCATGTTCAAACGTGGGCTAGAAATGCATGAAATAAAACTTTAAAATGAGTCTCATGGAATATGCTGCACCTTGCATTGCAGAGGAGATACATAATACATGTGCCCCCATTTATATCCCTTACTGCTTTTGTTATCCGATTTGTATCATGCCGGAGGCTCAGGGTGGCATACCTGGGACTACCCTGTTGAGCATCACAAAAAACCTGCAAGTGCCTTTCAGAGATTTAGACCACTGGCCACGAGGATCAGGGCCGGGTTTCCAACTCTGGTCCTCCAGGGCCTGCCCTTCCTCACCCTGCCCCCTTTCCCTTCAACCATGGATGGCTTGGTGGTTTCCTCACCAATTATTATTATTATAATTTATTTGCATTTATAGCTTGCTTTTTTTCTCTTGTGAGAAACCCAAAGCAGTTCACATAGTTCCATTTAATCCTCACAACAACCCTGCGAGGCAGGTTAGGCTGAGAGGGAGTGACCAGCCCAAAGTCACCTGGCCTTTTCATGGCCGAGGGGGGACTAGATTGCAGGTCTGCCGGGTCCCCAGTCCAGCACTCAGACTTCCTCACCACACTGGCTCTTCAGACTGTTTACCACTTCTCAAAGGTAGAAAGGAACCTCTCTAAGGCTTAGTTACTGGCAGTAGGCAGTTTAAGCTACATGACACCCTGTCTCTGGCCACACCCTCTTGGCCACTGGCCCCGCCCACCACTGGAACGCCACCCCCCCAAGCCCACTCCCCAAATGGAAAGCTTCCCCTCCCCGGCTCTGTGCTAATTAGCAGGGGGCCCCAGGGAATGAAGGCTGTACCTCAACATGCAGAGTATATTTTCAGTCCCTGAACTAAAGCTCAGCCCTTCCCTTCAGTGCCTGCATCCAGCCGCAGACGAGCTTCAAGACGGGGTCCAGTTCAGGCCACATCTGGTCTGTCCAAGCCCTTCTCCCTGTGGCAGCAAGCAAGGCTGGCGATGCTGCAAAGGTGTATCCAAGTCCAACAAAGGCAATCGCCATATTCAGGTCAAACGAAATGTCACAATAGTGAGTAAGCATCCTGCGTCGCCAGGCCAGACGGTTAAACAAACAGGAAGGTGGCAGAGAGCAGCGAAGGTGAATGAAAAAAGCCAGCGGCCTGTTAAAGGCACCACCTTGGCCGACTGCGACTAGAAACGTGTATGAGGAGCTTTCTGTACAAAGTAGGCCCAGCCCTGCACAACCTCAGGTGGAACATTTTGGGGAACTAGCGGAGGCAGTCAATTGCTAATTTTTAAAAAGAATTATATTCCCACTGCACTGCCTCCAGGGCTCCCATTTCTTCTGGAGGCTCCAAAACGTTCTGGATCATGTCCAGGTGAAATGTGTGCCATACAGAAGACGTTCACTCAGCAATGCACATGGTTAATAACACACGTATTCTCTGATTCTGATCTTTAACTGGCCTATTTCCCAAAGGCTGATAGTGGGACCAGCATCCTAAAACCACAGGAAGAAAACTTTGCTACATCTTTGCAAAACTGAGCACCATTTATTATACTTCTCTTGCACCCTTCCAGGAAGACTTGGGCAGTGTATGTGGCCTTCCACACCAGGCTTTTACCTTCACACACCAACCTGTGAGGTAGGTTAGTCCAAGAGATAGGAAATGATCCAATGGGCAACCTCTGCAGCTAAGCAGGGTTTTGAACTCAGGCTTCCTGGCTCTTCTTAGCCAAACATCACACTTAAACGGGCATGCAACATACCATCCCACTTCAGAGCTGAACAGAGTTTTGAACCCAAGCTGTTGTCCTTGGGGTTTGAATCCAAGCTCTTGCTATTATACTGCTACATTGCAAATTTATAATAACTGCTCAACATTCACATAGTAACTCCAAGCGTTGGAAGGATTTCATTGGCATTATTCAGCTGTTATAATTACAACAACTCTACAAGCTAGTCCACTATTTAAGAGGGAGTGCTGAGGCTGAGAGTGAGTAGTTTGTCTAAGGTCCAGTGCCTTTCATGGCAGAGGCAGCATTTGACCCAAGGGCTTCTGATCCATAGTTTAGGCTCTTAAGCTGGAACTGCACACACACTTACCTGGGAGTAAGTGCCACAGAACTCAACGGGACTCACTTTTGAGTAACCAGGGAGACAATCACGCTGTTACCCACCTGCCACACCGGCAGTGGGTTTTTGCACGTAGCCATGCTCCAAGGATACACGCCTTGCAAACCGATACCCGCACGGCCTGTAAATGAATGATGCACGCAGCTCCTGCACCGCTCCCCTCCCCGCCCATTTACCAGTGCATTCCCCGCCCCCCTTGCATCTTAGCCGTGTGCGGACAACCTCATGCACGGAGGGCGACGGGCAAGCCACCGGGGGGTGGGGGGAGTTAGCCGCAAGCGTCTTTGGAACAGTGCTTTTTCTCAGCCTTTCCCCCCCTCCTGGCTGGACGCCTGTCCGTGAGAGGGTTAAAGACGTGCGGGGCGGGGGGGCTCCAAGCTCGCGGGATTCTCCTTCCAAGCCCAGGATCACCTTACCCAACCTCTCTTCCCTCGTTCAGCTGCAGGGATAGGCGGGCACCAACTCGCCTTTCCCCTCCTTCTTACCAACAGTCTCCGCCACACTTCCAGGAATCACCCAGCAAAAAAGAGAAAAAAAGCGAAGGGGGAGGGAGCCTGCTGGGGTTTACACAGCCACTTTCTGCCAATCAGAGCCCGGCCAGCCGCCCCCCCGGCGGCCAATGAAAGTTGTGGCCATTCATAAAAATAAATACACGGCCACCCTGCGCCCTAGGCGCACACGGGCGCGAGGCGCCGACCTCTCCGCGCGCGCCCGCTCCCCGCGAAAGCCCCGGCTGGGTCTGCGCCGCGCGCGGCTCCGAGGTCGCCGCAGCCCCGCGCCCCGGGCCGCCCCCGCCGCGATGCGGCCGGCGAGGCGCTGAACTGACCCGCGAGTTCAGCCGGTCCCCTCGCCTCGCCTCCCTCCCTCCCGCCTGCCTTCCCCGCGCTCCCCGCGAACGGGAAACGCGCGTCTCGCTTCTGAAGCGCGCGCGCCCGTTCACACGCACTTCCAGGAAACCACAGACAGATGCTGCGATTCCTTTGCGAAAGGAAACAGATTTGCTTCGCTTCTTCCTCGCCGCTCGCTCCTCCCGCTCATCTTTCCACTCCTCCCGAGTCCTAATCCGGGAGGTATCCGTGGAGGGGGGGGGGGCTGGGCTGGCGGGGGGGGGCGGAATATTCATTTGCAAGAGCTGGAAGCAAGCCTTCCCATCCGGTTTGTTTGCCGACGTACCCCCCCCCCCCCCCCCCCCCGCCCCGGCAGCCCGCCCTCCCCCAGTCGCTGGCGTTTGAAGTATGGGAAAGAGAACAGATTCGGCTGGACTCCGTTTCGGCGGCAGATCCCCTGAAGCAGAGCTGCAGTTTTGATCTGGATTCTTGCTCGCTCGCTCGCTCGCTCTCTTCCGTTTTTGGAGAAGTTCAGGCACCTCGGCTTTCACCGCCACCAAAGGTAAGCGAGTTTAACACAACGGCAAAAGACCCCCCCCCCCCCCCGAAGACTCGCTCTGATTTTATCCCTTTGGACAGCAAAGTCATCCAGGGCAGGGGAATGGTTTTAGAGACGGGTCGAGTGGCAAAGAGCGCAAGAGGAAAAACACACCCTCCCTCCGAAATCGTTAAGAAAGAGAGCGCGCTGACAACTTTACTCACTAGTGCGGCAGTTCTAATATGCCGGGGTGATCAAACTCAGATTGAAATGGTTCACTTTGTGCTATTATTGATACTCTTGAGAGGGTGGGTGATAAATTTGAAACGAACTGCAGGCATCTGTCCTGATGAGGTCTAACTCTTCGGTTGCTGTGATCGTGCAGAAGATTGAAATTCGATCAAATCTGAAAATTGAATTTTTCACTTTGGAAATTCCAAGGCATTTACATTTTGCTTCTGAGAGCTGGTTTCTGAAGGGTCCTAGCTATGAATGTTAACCCGCAGATTTTCCACATTCAGTAGTTTTGCTCGTGCAAACACATGTACAATGCTAAGGACACCAAGATCTGATCCTACATAAAGGCTATGCAAAACTCCAGATTAGAAAATCAACCCAGATTTAGTCCTCCTTAGAGCAAACCACCAAAACAAATGGAAAAGTTATGATGCATTTACTATTTAAATGGGTATGAGTAATTTGGGATCCGTATTGTATTTTTAGGTGTTTTTGTAAACTGCTCAGAGAGTGCAGCTATTGGGTGGTATAGAAATTCAATAAACAATATCAACAAGCCTGGAACTGCAGCAACATTTTCCAGTTTCCCCTTGTGAACATGAAAGCTGTTTTACAATTTTGTTCTAGATATACCATCATGCGGTTGTTGAAATATGTATTGATTGGTTTTTCCATAAAACTGTACTGCAGACAATGGGACACAAAGAAAGAAATGAGCACAAATTATGAAAGCAGGTGAGGCCATAATTCAAGGGGTAAAATACATGTTTCACATGCAGAAGGTCCCACATTCAATTCTTAAGATCTCCAGGTAGGTCTGGGAAAGACTCAAACCTGCAACTCAAGAAATCCGCTACCACTCTGTTTTTGCTTTTTAAATACTAAGCTAGGCATATTCAGAATAAAGTAATGATGTTCCTAGTACAATCCAGCTCCACTTGAACATGTTTAAATCCTGTTTAAGTGGAAACTTAAGCCCACATTTTATTTATTTATGTTAGGTATTTTTACTCCACTCCTCAGCTGGAAAAGCTGCTGGAGCAGCTTCGAGATAATCAGTAAGACAAGACAGTGCCTACCTACAGGCTTACTATCTAAAAAGTCATAACATACAAGGAAAATGGGATGGGGAGGGCAGAGGAAAAATCATATTCCAGTAGAGCAAGTAGAATTGCCCTGTTTGCAGCTCACATTTCCTTCAACATGGCTTGCTGGGATGACTGCTGGGCCTTGATTCTTTGAAATGGATGAGGATAAACAATGTTTAACTCTAGCTGGATCGTGCCTTAAAACAGAGAAAAGAAAGAAATTCTCCATACCAGATACAATTTCCTCCCACACTTTTTAAAAGGTTTTGTAGAGAGGAAAAGATGCTTCAAGATGGTCACTGAGGCCTCATTGGGTAGGCAGTTTCCCTGTTCTGCTTGTGCTGAACCATGCAGTATTTGATCATTTTCAACTCTGGACTTAACTGGCTGGATCCAGACATCATTGTGCATCAGGTAGACCCACTGCAATCAAGAGACAACTCAGGAGTAACTTAGGTCTCACTGACTTCAGTGGGTCTACTTGAAGTATGGGCCCTTCTCCACATCTGTAAAAGGTGACAAGCGTCACGCCACATGCTTCTTACATCCTCCCAAACTTGTGTTTGGGAAGATACCTGCTCCTTCTGTAGAGTGAGGCTCTGATCTGTTTTCCCAGAGAGTTACTTTGAAGGTGGGGTATGGAGGACCAGGAGCTGGCGTGGAAGAGCTCAGGTGTCAGGAAGGTTCATAGTCGGGCAGGTGTCCTCTTCTTGATGCCTGGCCATTCCTGACCGCTGATCTCACGCAGAGATTCAACAGGCAACTTCCTTCAAGAGCCAACCCTGCTCTCCCTTGGGAATGAATTCTCTGATTGCAGAAATGAAGCTGAATCGAAGGAGACAAGCCCACAGTATTGACACATGCAGAGGGGCGACAGAAGCCCTCCTTTCAGGGCAGGCCATGGGATTGCATTGCCGTCAAAGGTCCCACCACACTCAATGCAAAGCTGAAGCAACACTATCTTCCCTTAAAACAAGGACCGGAAGAACAGAGCAGTGACTCACTCAGAGGTGAAGGAAGAAGCTCGCAGATAATCCATTTAGCAGGACTCTGGCTGGCAACAGCTGGCCAGGGGCTTTTCCCTTCTCTGTTATTTGATCCTGTTTATCTGGAGATGCCAGGAATTGAACTGTCTGCATTAAATGCTCAATGACACATCTCCCTTTCTCCCGTTCCTCAGCTGCTGCTTTGCTAGTCCATTAACAACATAGGTCGGAGCACATGGCTTCAGTCCTCCTTTGCTGCAGATCTGCTCAGCTCGTCAACAGGAAGCAACTGAGTAGCCCAGAGAAAGGCAGCAAGCGGGACCACGGAGCTTTTGCAGCCTGCACAGGGCTGGTGAATTGGATGAGGAGTTTCTCTAGTCCACATTTGGCCTGTAGGTCGAAGGTTCCCCACTCCATTTGAAGGGTGTGCTCTAACCACTGAGCTACGCTCCGGCCTTTCATTTTCTCGCAGCAATCTGAAACATTTCCTTGTGGTAATGCAAGTTGGGAATGATCAAAAGCCAGAGAGTTAGTGTTCAGATCACACACAGTCTTTCAAGCATGTCAGGTTTCCTGCGGAGGGCTGGTTTGGAGAATATTTTCTTGCGGGAGGAATAATGCACATGGAAAGTGCTACCCAGGAAGTGTTCATTTCCTTGAGTTATTTTTAGGAGCAGCCACTGAATGGGATATTGGAATCTTTCCAGATCCAGGATCATGTATTTGAACACGTTGGGCCTGGGCCTGGGGAACCACGGGACTTCATGGGGCACCCTACACAGACCCGGCCCCACCCCCTTTCCCCCAACCAGCCTCTCCCATTTTGCGCAGCTTACATCCATAGGCTGAACTCCGAAGGCTTCGATCTAGCAGCTGTTAGAACATCGAGCGAAGCTGTGCTGGGTTTTTTTGCATTTTTGTCCTGCCCTCTTTGTTTTGGCCACACTGCCACTGGAATGTGGCCCTTGACAACTTCTTTGAAACTGGATTTGTCCCTCAGAATAAAAGGAGTTTAATTAATTAATTTATTAAACGCTTTTCTATCCTGTCCCCTACAGAATGTCTCGGGACAGCTTACAGTTCTGCACCTCTGCTCTGGACTATCTAAAGGAAAGTGTAAATGTAAAATCACTCCTTTTAACCCTCACATCCCTCCCACCAACAAAATTGACCACAGATCCCACTAAGAAATCCATAATTTCTGGAAAACAGTTCTCCAGCGGGAAATATTCCAAACACACTTTGTGGCAGATTTTTTTTTAAAGCACACAATGTGGCAAAGGTCAGCTGGTTTTTTATCATGTCCCAAGCCAAAAGAAACAACTGGTAAGGAACCACATCCATGCCAGTTAGTCTCCGCCTCCCTAAGCGACCCCCCATATCTTTCCTGCTTTGCACTCGTACCCAAAGATCATTGGTCACTCCAAGCAGTTTCAGGGGGATGAGAACCACCTCCAAGACGGTGCTAGAACTGGGAATGTGTCCTGCGCCGAGGTTTTCTAGCATAGGTACTCTGAAGTTGTGGGAGGGACTGCACCATTTCAGCACGCAGGCATGAGGAATTGTACAATTGCATGTTTTTCTCACAAAGCCTCTTTCTGCCCCCGGAAAAGCCAGTATCTTAGGGGAATCCTTCCAGACTCCTTTGAGTAGTGAGACTTTGTGGGAGGGGTGTTAAGTATGCACACCTTAACCTGTGGTTTGGAATGGCACAGTCCTGGGAAGTCCTTACCACTTGCTTCTTCTGGTCAGCCTTCCAGACACATTTAGATGGCAACACCCAGAATTCTTAGTCAATGGTCCTGCTGGATGGGAGTTGTGGTCCAAATGGGTCTGAAAGCCACCAGGTTGGGGAATTAACCCAAACACTTTTGACACTTTTTAGGAAAAAAGTAATCTGGCAATGTTTCTCCTTCAGTACCACTCTCAGCAACATTCCTTGTGAAGTATTCTCTTATCGAATATCTGTGTATCGTGCTTCTGATGTGAGACTAGGCTTTTGAGCCAAATTCCAGCCCTCTTGAGGTTCTAATCTGGCCCTCTGGGAGTCTCCCCGGTGACGAAACCTCTCCCCCTCAGCCCTCAATCAATCCGTGGTTTCCTGGCTTTTGCACCATTTTCTGCATTTGAAGAAGTTCCTAGAGCTCAGGCACTGGCAACAGGAACTTTAAGCAAAGCAATGCCAGTCTCAGATATTTTGGCTCTGCCACCACCGGAATGTGACCCCCACCCAAGAATTTCCCCAAAACTGCATTGGGCTTTTAGGCTGAACGAGTTCCACTATCGCTGTATTAGAAAACTCCGACCTCTTTCCTTATCAGGAGACACCACTGGGTACTTCCTCCCCATTTACCGGGATGTAAGTCCCATAGAATGAAGTGGCTCTTGCTTCTGAGCAGACAGTGGGATTCTCTTGTTCGGTTCTTTGCCCTGTTTGCTTACATACAAATGTACAGATCCTTGTGCATCGGGCTACACCATTGCTAACGCTGCATGCTCAAGGAGCAGCAGCAGCACGAACCCCTGCAGCTCTTGGAGGGTTGGGGTGCAGGGCTTGGTGTTCCACCATGCTGGTGTGCCCCAGGTCTCCTCCAAGAGCATCTGACAAGACACCCCTGGAGCTGCCTCTCCCCTTCCTCCCTGTTGCGACCTGCTGGTTCACCAAGCTCTTCCTCTCCTCCAGACGGCGGTGGCAGCAAGGAGTGAGAGACGCTGTGGCCTGCCTGATTGCGCACCATTGTGTTTCCCACAAGCGCGTGGGTCCAATGAGGAGAAAGGACAGAAGGTGCTCCAAGCCAAGGAGCAGCCACTGAGGGTTCTCTCACCCAGGGGCCTTCTAAAACCTGGAAAAGGCATCAGGCTGCCCGCCTGCACCAAGAATTCTCGGTCGGTTGCTTTATGGAGGCCCAAGCAGTTTCCCAGAAAAAGAACACATTTTCTTGACACCTCACCATGCCTCACTTTTGGGTACATCTAGCTGGACCATGACTTAGTAGAGAACCTGCCGCCTTTTCCTGTCAGTCACTCAGTTTAACAAGGGCAGCTGCATGCTGCACCTTACCCTGATTAGCAGGCTTGCTATATCTTTTCTAATGGCACTTGTGCAATGTAGAGTCAGCAGTCTGCATTCTAAAAAGAACATGTTCCCCCTCCATCTCAGCAAGTTTCTAGTCCTTATGACAGCAAATGAAAAAAGAAGTATACAGACAGTGGTAAAGTCTCAACAGGCCTTGAGCAAGAGATTCCTGATGTCAGTGCTTATTTCCCATCTGTTTCGAATGCTCATCATCTGACTGCCATTTTGCTAATGGGAATCGCTTTCATGGACAATTCCTAAAACCACCAGTGTCAAAAGATGTGCAAGAGCTTGCACAATACCACGCAAGTATTTGATAAAACCACTGAGGCCCTTTTGCAAGAGTTGGCACACTCTGCAGAATGGTGCTCCACAGTCAGGTCTCAGTAAAACTTGCAGAACCTTATTGGATTTGATCAACACAGCTCTACAAACAGTCTCTGCTTCTTTTCCAACCAACTTTGCTAAACCTGCTCTGCAAGACAGGGTAGACCTCATAAGATCTTAAGAGCGTGCCTTGCAGGAGATGCTCAGCTGAAATCTCAAAAACATAGTAGTAAGAGGAAGCTTTCAGTTAAACAATATCATTTCTTTTTATGAAATACAACTTTCAGAGATAGAACTATGCTATAATACAAATGCATTATAACATAGTATACAAAAGATTATAGCTTTGCTCTGGTTTTACACAGCAGTTTTAAATGCCTGAAGGCTTCAGAGTTTTGTCATGCTGGCTTTTATTGCTCTAAGTGTTAGAATGTGTGGAGACACCTGTGACTATTGGGTGACACAGAAATGCATTAAATAAAGGCTTCAAGAGACCCTGCTTTGGTTGAAACAAGCAAGCTCAGACTCTTGGTCCTGCTGACATGCTCTGGGTTCAAGGAATGAGGACTTGGAGGTCAAGGAGAGAAGCCGAAACCTCTCGCAGCAGGAGCTTGAAAGCCAGCAAAGGCACCCATGGCTTTTCAGCTCACACGAGCACCCAAACTCTCTCTGCCTTCTCTTCTAGATGCTGCTTCGGTAATGACCGAGATCTCTTTCAGTCAACGGGAGGCGCAATGCTACCCCTCTGCTGGTGCTGCCCGCCAGCACCTGCGTCCCCTACGACGGCGGCCATCATGACCAGCACGGCCACACCTTCCTACCACTTCAAGAGTTTCTGTGGGGAGTTTGAACGGGTAGAAAGTGCCCTGGAACGCCTCGAGGCCAGTGGGTTCTACTGGGGCAGCCTGTCAGGCACCGAGGCCAAGCGGCTTTTGACCTCCCAGCCGCCCGGCATCTTCCTGGTGCGAGATTCCTCCGATCACCACCACCTGTTCACTCTGAGCGTCCGCACCAACACAGGCATCACCAACCTGCGGATCCAGCAGGAGGGCTCGGCTTTCCACCTGGAGGCTCTGCCAGGGGCTGGACATCCCCCCACCTTCCGCTGCGTGGTCCAGTTGGTAGAGTATTATCTCTGCCTGGGGGCCGTGGAAGGGGGCCCCTGCTATCTGGAGAGGGAGGGGCAGCCCCCAGTGCCTCTGGCGCTCACACAGCCGCTCTGCTGCAAGGTGCCCACGCTGCAGGAGATGTGCCGCCGGGCTGTGCGGGCCAGCATGCAGGGGGGAGGCGATCCCCGGGCCCAGTTGCAGGGGCTGCCAGTACCCCAGGGACTGTTGAACTCACTCTGCAGCTGAACATGGGGCACCAGCTCCAAGGCCTTGCAGTAAGTGTGGGGTGTTTCCTTCCAAACATTCCTTGTATAGTACATGAACAGGAATGGCCGCAGACAGCACTTTGCTGGGGGGGCCTCTTCATTTATCTTCATGGAATAAACCAGCTGTGCATGGGGCCAGCCACCTCTCTCCATCCAACTGACCGCTCACTATTCATTCTGATGTAACCTCAGACCCCCAAAATCCAAAGGGAAGAGGGAAAGGGCAATTCATTCAAGGATGTAGTGAGGCATCCTGTAAGATTTAGAAGCCCTCTAGCTTGTTTTCTCCACTGCCTTTAAAGCACCCAATTCTGCCTTCACAAGAGCACCTGTATTCTAGGAGGCTCACACATTTTCTCCCCACTCCACCTCACATTGGCAGAGCTGCCTCATCCCCTTGAACAAAGCACTATCCACATGCTACGCTGCACGTCTTTGGAAAATGCACACGTGAGATGCTCAGAACAAGCACCGGAGCCAAATGGGCAGCAGATGTGAACCCACAGGAAAAGTCAGGCAGCAATGTATTGTGTAATAAATCTCTTAAATCTTTTAAAGTTGCAGGAAATTAACTTCTTTAGCCACACTCGCACTCTACAAGCCCTCTAGTGGAAGCTCGAATAGGAGTGTAAGGCAAAGCTACAGATATTCAACAATAAAGTTCTGCTGAACTTTACGGTTAGCTCAGAGAACAGGGTCTCGATCCCAAATGTTGCACTAGAAAGGCATGTGTCACAGCATGCAGTACATGGGTGGCCGCCTCAACTTGCGTTACATGTTTGATCCCTTCGAGATAGTCCTCCCCCCAGTTCCAGTCATTGCACCGTCAAGGTCATTACTGTAACTTGACAGGCAAGAATGCTGACTCGCAATTATAGAAGTAAAACACATTTGATGCAAGAAACCACAAACTCAGCTATTATGCTGTATCCGGTGGCTTGCATTTCTGCGTATTTTTTAATGAACAATGCAGTCGCTGGGAGAATGAGGAAGAGGGGGCTACAACTCTGACGAAAATGAAAAGTTGCCCAAGCGTGCAAACTATTCCTCATTCAGTGCTTTTATTCTGTGCAAAGCTGGATACGCGCTTTATTCCCCTTGCCAGAGGTTCAAGCACTATGCAAAGCTGTTTTATACCAACAGAGGAGCATAAACATCTAAAAAGCTTCCTGTTTCATTTTGCATTAAATTCATTTTAAGCTGTTTAAACGTTGCTGTTCTATTTTCTGTTCCTAACAAGGAACTTCAGTGCAGCCCCACCAGTAGTTTTTAAAATCTCTTTTCTTTGGAATAAAGTTCCAGATTTATTGTTAATAAGCCAATCTCTTCCAGGAATATTTTGAGAGTCCCAGCCAATTTCACTTCAGGGCTAGGTGACAAAGAGTGTTAAAACTACTGATAAAATGGAAAGGTCATTTCTTTCTGCTTATTTTTAGGAGTTTGGCTCCTGTGCCTCAAACCTTCACTTCTCAATCTTGTGCTACACCTTGGCCAATTCCTTTAATTGTTCCCTTCTATACTATCAACAGTCATCTTTTATCTACAAGACAAAAGGACTGTAACAAGCATATATCTGTTAATTCTAGAAAAAGTGCCACTTCTGCATTTACAGAAAAATAGGAAAGGGAAGTAGATTAAGTTCAGGAAATATTGGCCCAAGGGCCTTGTCCTCTCCATTTGTTTTATCTTGGCAAGGAAGAACCACAAAAAAGGGAAAAAAGAAAAGCAGGTAAATGGAAGGGAAGAAAAAAACAACTCCTTGAAATTTTGTCGCGGTTACCAGCTGAGCTGAAGTGAACAATTTCCTACCAGGAAAGCAACCGTCTTCCCCTCGTCTACCACCAAGTGCTGACAACATTAAGCCAATTCATGCAGTTTTCATTCAGAGCACCACAACGAGAGGAATCTTGAACGTACTGCCAAATATTGTCACAGTGCCCGATCACACAAAGGCTGCAATGGTTTATCCACAAATATTTTTATTCTGTTACATAACAGCAGAAAGGGTAGATTCCACACCAATTTGTACGGCTAGGAGGGGCATCCGCCACAGCTTAATCCTCCTCTTCATCGTCCCCACCTCCGGCACCACCCTGACCCTTCTTGGCATTCTTCCTCTTGACACGCCCTGGTCGGCCCCCACCATAGGGTGAGCGGAGGGAGAAGTCAATATGCTTTTGGGAGTCCAGGCGAACAATGAAGGAAGGGATGTTAACCACTTGCTTCCTTACGCTGAAGGGGAGAAAGGAAATGGTCACAGTGTGGAACAACACACATCAATACAATTCCTACTGCTTAGAATTCCTTCCGGAACAGTCAAGTTCTAGCAAAATATACCATCATTTTTCAGTAGACCTTCTCCAGCAAAACCAGAACAATATTGTGACAGCTTAATTTTCACCTGCCATCTCCCAATCTTAAGATCTAGACTTTAAACCATGTAAAAGTAATCTAGAAATAAGCACACTCCTATTATCAAAAACTGCTACTCTGCTGGAAGCACTTTTTGAATGTTCACTGCAGTGCAATCCTACATGTGTACTCAGAAGTCTCACTGTTCAGCAGCGTGAGCATGTTTGCTTGTGAGCATGCTCAGGGTAATGACCTAAACAGATGGTGGAGCCCAGTTTCGGGACAAAGCACGTTTTTATTGCGGCCTGCAGTATGTAAAACCTAGACTAATGCTGGCTGATGTCACAACATGGCTCTAACAGCAGATGACTTCTTAACAAGAAAGATCACACCAGTAGTAATTTGTGCTGAAAAGGAGCAGAGCATGAGTAGTTACCTCTACCGCCCGCACGGCAAGACCTTCGCAAGGTGTACGGCTGAGCCGCAGTGAGCCTTGCTGTAATCTTTTTGGGGTTTTGGCACGCGGCCTCATTAGGTGAGCTGTAGCGCTACTGAGCTATCCAGGGCTCCAATCCAAGGAACAGGTTGGTGGGGTTAAAAGACACACAGCTGGGACATTGCCACATATATCGCTGCGCAGGCTACACACAAAAAACATTAAAAGTATTACTTCAGATGCAGAACCTGCCCTTGCAACCCGTAGCACTGGTGACAACCTAAGCAACGCAGCTGCTTTCCAGCTTCATTCTGCTTAAATCACCAAATGCCTAAACACCATTCCACCCTCTCCCAAGTTCTCACGCACAGTGGCATACCGGATGTGTCTCTGGCGGATAAGGACTCGAGCATGGTGGATGGATTTGGCCAGGCCCAGTTTGAAGACCTGGGTTTGAAGGCGCCTTTCTAGAAAATCCTCAATTTTCAAACCCAGGATGTAATCCAGCTTCATCTTGCCTTCATCCAGCACCCCAATCCTGACAAGACGTCGAAGCAAAGCATTACCTGGGAAAGGAGAGCAACACATGAGCAAAGCAAAGAGACCTACATACACCTGGTGAGAGGTGGGTTGACAGTAGCAGGAAAGCATATCAGTGATATAGATGAGTCCAAGGAGAATCTATTTTATTCTGGGAGACTAATACCTACACAAATAGGTAGATACCTGACAAAGTGGCAAGATGCATAAGGGAGGTGAACATGTAATACTTAACATGCTGGTGATGGGTATTGAGAGTAACTATGACTTCCAGCAAGCAAATACCTAGGCTTGCCCTGTGACATACCCTCAAAGAGACGCCTCTGATCCTTTTCGTCCAGTGTGAGCAGCTCACGGGCAGCTTTGCGAATCTTCGCTAAGGTGAACTTCACTCGCCACACTTCACGTTTGTTCCGCAGCCCATATTCACCTAAGACCATGATCATGAGGTATTAAACATAAAAATTCAGCTGTGGATCTGAAACAACTCTGTATTCAAGTAACTTTTCCAATTTGGAAAACTTACCAATCAGTTTTAGCTCCTGGTCAAGTCGTGACTTTTCAAAGGGCCGCCTGGGGGTGACATATGTCTTACGACATACCCAACTCCGAGCAACAGGCATTCTTGCCTAGAGTCTAGACCTGTGGAGAAAACAGTGAACAACAACAAAAAGCATTAATAGAGGTGGCAGCTAGATCTAATCAGTGAACCAAATAAAAGCATTGTGTATTTTACTATTATGTCTCATTTATATAGGAGTCCAAATTTATGACATTTGTTAAACTGGTCAGGGGCTTCACGCCCAAACAGGCACTTTCACGGAGTGCCCACTCATGTTGTCAATCCTGCCCACATTTAGCCACAGACAGTATCTCTAAACCCAGTTCTTATTCTTGAGTTCAGGCTGATCTTTAACTCTTGACATCAGTTCTCTTGTGAAAAGACATGAGACCCATCGTAATGTTTGTGAAGAAATCTATTCTACCCACTTTCCAGCAAGGTATGCCCCAGTGGTTTAATTTTACACCGTTACTAAACTAGACTACCAAGTCTGAGATTTTGTAAAGCTATTTAATCAAAACAAGGCTGGAAAAGTGCTTTGGGCCCTAGAAGCCATGCTACCACAGACACAAAACTAACAAGCAAGCAAAGCTGCCTCAGAAACATGTGTGATAGTTTCCCATCCTCCATTCTTTGTGGAGAATATTAGCAAAGCTCTCTCCCTATAGTCATGCTTACACTCAGAACTTGCCAAACCGAGCAAGACCATATTGGAGTATGAATGCCGATTTGGCAAATGGTTCAAAACGGTAATGGATCTTTAGCAAAATCACCATGCTTGCAGCCTAAACCAATAATGTAGAAAAACTGATATTGAAACACTTTGCACCATAAAGGGCTTGTTGTTACTCATTATCTACTACCTTACCTATTTGATGGGAAGAGCATGCACATGGCTGATAAGATTGACAGATTATTTGATAGCTGTATTCCCTTAATACACAACAGCTTGCCCCAGTCATGCTTAAGAAATCGATGGGGTTTTTTTGGTTTAAAACATACTAGAAAAGCAGTCGCCTGACAATTATCAGAAACTCAAGCTATAGCTCCATGACTCCATTTAGGCACTGTGTGAGCAGGCACAACAGTTTACATGGAAGACACTAGAACAGCCTTCCTAACCATGGTGAGTTGGCACGGAGCAGCCATGCTGGCTGGAAAATGCTGGGAGCTGCAATTCATCTGAATGTCCTTCAGTACTTTAGACAAGCACCACCCAGACCACGGAAAAAGCTCAACACTGATTTACAATGACAACCTTTAAAAAAGTCATTCCTACAAACTTACATCAGTTCCACCTAGCAAATAGGGGCAACCGGGCCTCTTCTCTTGTTTTAGTAACGTGTGAGTGACAGAACGTTACTTAGGTACCCTTTCCCATCCCTCAAGCCCACTGCAGCAGCAAAATTATTTACCCATTATTTCCCTAAGAAAAGCAGTATGTGCATCTAATGATACATGGAGCCGTAAGATAAAAGGGTAACTAAGCCCTACAAATCCCGAAGCACCGGGCATAAGCCAGGCAAAGCCTAGCTAAGTCCTGGTTTAAAAAAAAAAAAAAAAACGAAGAAGGACGTGCCATAAAGTCCACAGGCTGGTCGGTGATACCCGCGCACGCGCGGCTACCTCGTTACTGCATCTTGCACATGCGCAAAAAGAGGAGAGGAGAAAATGGAGGCTCGGGCTCCGCTTGTCTTTCGAGCGCATGTGCTGCCGTTACAGCCTTTCGAAGGCCAATTACAGAAAACTAGTTAGTAAACGGCTGCTTAAACCTTCCCTGTGAAAGGCCAGCGCACTTTCCCGAGGCCCTGCCCTGCGACGCCTCAAACAAAGTCCTCTTACCTAATCCCGGTCCAGGCGACAATTCTCAAAAAGAAAGGAAATAGTTTTCGAGCCGAATTATATACCGCCGTGAGTGGCTCCGCCTTCCATCTCCAGTAACCAATAGAAATGCGATTTTTTCCACCTGGCCTATTAACGGCGGGCCGTTTCGTGGAGCGAGAGCCAATGAGCGCTGGCTCCTTAGAATAGTAAAGAACAAACGGCTAGACTAGACGCTGGAAGAGGAAAGAGCGCGTGGCGTGCTTAATGAGCGCTATTAAGGATCACGTTGACACGGAAGCTGCCAATGGCGGGGACCGTGAAGAAATCGTGGGGCAGTCATTGCGGGATGAAGTCGAGGGTGGGAAGGGTTAGATCCGAATTTAATCATACTTAAAGTAGTCCCATTGATTTCGTAGCAATCAGGAAGAATTAAAGTTCCCCGAACTCAAATGGAAGACATTATGGTGTAGTGGTTGGAGTGTGGAACAGGGACTGGAGAGATTTGGGTTCTAGTCCCCGCTTGGCGGAAAAACTTACTGGATGTGTTTGGGCAACTCACTGGGAGCCAGTGTGGTGTAGTGGTTAAGAGAGCGGGTTTGTGGCTCAGACGATCTGGGTTCTAGTCCCTGCCTAGCCATGAAACCAATCGGTAAATTTGGGCCAGTCAGATTCTCAATCCAGCCTACCTCACAGGATTGATGTTGTGGGGAGAAGATGGAGAGCAGAAGGGGGATAGTTTGTAAGCTGTTTTGAGTTCTTTAACAAAGAAAGAGATGGGATATACATCTAATAAACTGACTCGGCCAAACCTACCTCACAAGGTAGTTGTGAAGATGAAATAGGAAAGAGGATGACCATGTATGATGATTATAGCATTACATTTATATCCTGGCTTCTTTCTTCTTGGAAGTAACCCAAACTGGTTTACATAGTTTTTATCCACTACAGCAACCCTGTAAGGTGGGTTACTGCATGACTGGTGCAAAGTCACCCAGTGAGCTTCATGGCTAAGTGGGGACTAGAAGCAGGATCTCCCAGGTCCCCAGTTCAACAATCTAACCACCACGTCATGCTGGCTTGTGCCAACCCTAAGAACTGAATGCCTTCCAAAATGGCCTGACCTTGACAGTCCTGCTCAGCTCTTGTAAACTCAAAGCTGTGGCTTCCTTAGGCACTGTGTATGCGTGGGATGGACACACCATATAGCTGCTCCTGATTTATAATTCCCTCCCCATCTCATTGTTATTCCCAGTGATATATGTTGCTTAGGACTTTCAGAAAGCATTGCCTTTTTTCTCTAGAAATTTGGAACCCAAAGAAAATGTTACACAGAAGACATGCTTGCCCTGATCCCTGTATCTCCCCTGTAAAGTTTCATAGAAGAAGATGATGTGCATTGGGACCTACCTTAGTCTTGATGCTGACACTGGAGATGCTTCTCTTAGATCTGCTATTACAATAGCAGGCAGTCCAGTGGTAGTCCCATGCTCGGGAAACTCAGTCCCCCGGGAGGTTTGTGAAGTTCCTATTTTCCAATGCTAATCACCACACCAGCTCACTACATGTAAACTGCTTTATGTTCACTGCAAAAGGAAAGAAGGTGGGATATAAATGTAGTACTAACTAAACAAAGTGTGACTAAATCCAACCAAAGATTCTCCTTATTCTGTGACCATCTGTAAAACTATCGCTCTGTGTGGAGATGACAGTCACAGAGAAACTAGATACCTCTTCAACTTTGCATGATCAACCACTATTGAACATTCTCCAATATTTCTCCAAACTTTTTAATCTACTAGCTAGAACATCTGTTCTTATGTGATGAATAAAATAGAATGAGATTTTAGTAAGGTCTAGTGGACTCCACCCCCTAGAGTCAGGCATGACTGGACTTAATGTCAAGGGGAAACCTTTACCTTTACCTTTACCTTAGTGGACTCCAGAGGATGGTGGAGGACAGGAAGGCCTGGAGGAATGCTGTCCATGGGGTAGCGATGGGTCGGGTGCGACTTTGCAACTAGCAACAAGCAACAACAACACTGTGATATCTTTGCAAGAAGATCGATTTTACTTAGGAATCATCCTGCTTTGGAGTGAGATGAAACTTAAAAGGGCAGTAGCATTTGCCATAAGAAAAATTGTTAAACCAACTAACAGTTTAAAAAATGCTCAAACTTTCCAGATCTCTTCATCAGGCAAAATATTAGAAGAGGCAGGTGGGGAATTGAAGGAAGGGAGGAATGACCTCATGTTGATTGTGACATCTGTATGATCACAGTTTTGAGATGGAATGGGAGGGAAAGATCTGCAAACAATTAAATTGCACCTGGTAATGTGAAGTTTCAGGCTTCAACTGGAACTGCCCCCAGAATAATTGAAAGCAAGAAAGACATACATGCTTGATTGCATATATTTGAAAATTATGCTTATTATTACAAAACCCATCTGTTATTCAGAAATAACTCAGTATGCAGTGCTTGAAGTGACAGAGTCAACAGAAGCCAAACTGGGTTGCTTTCATGGGTCATTGGGAAGGGATGAACTTCGAAAGTCTAAGATTCCAGCTTCAGATAGTATGAAATCCTTTTCCACCAGTGTAGGCTCTTGCCACTGAAACAGGAATAGGGGTGTGTGAGTGAGGAGGGGCCATATAAGCAACTGGAGCAGTTAAGCTAGGAATTTTGACCAAACAATGCACTTTGAGTTAAAAGTCCATAATTTTATTTTTTTTTAATCTTAGTTGAACTGCTCCACTCTTAATTGGCGAAGCTCTAAAAGGTCATCAATGGTCTCTTCACCATAGAAATAAAGGTATCTGATATATCTAACATGTATCTGATTTCCTTCTCCAAACTTCCAATGCAACATGCACGTGGTTTTTGTCATAGAGGTGACAAGGGATAGAAGAAACAAAAGCTGCTTTTGGCACCTTAAAATAGTAAGATACCAGTTCAGCATCCATTGTGGATCATGGCCAACTGCAACTTCCGATTTTGACTGAAAGTTTAGTCACCAAGTCTAACCCTTTTACATTGTTTTACTCAATCTGCTGCCCTCCAAATCTGTTGGACCACAATTCTCATCATCCCCAGATGTAGTCCAGCACATCCAAGGGCACCAGGTTGGGGAAGGCAGCTCTAAAATTTCTGCCTTCCCACTCTCAACTGACCACCCAAAGGTCCCCTGCTCGGTTAGACGAGTGTTCTGATTGATCTGGTTTTTCCCTTCCTACAATGACTAGCTGGATCCTCTCAGATGTCCCCAACCAGACTGTGAAGGCACAGCCTGCCCCTGCCGCTTGCGTTCAGAGGTACACTGCACCTGTGCCTGGAAGTTCCATTTATCAAACCTGTGAAAAAGTCCTCCCCTTCCTGCACGTGTCTGCACATTTTGGATCTATGTAAATCAGCTGCCATCACCATAGCCAGTGGCAGCAAATTCCTTGGTTCCACGTTTGAATTATGCATTGAGTGAATGGGTACTTTCTTTCTTTTGTCCCAAATTCATGGCTTCATTTTATTTAAAATATTTACATTCTGCCCTTCAGTTCTGCTGCTGCCTGCCGGGCTACCTAACAGTCAAGTAAATGAACCCCAAACAAAACCATAAACCATGTCCCTAAAGCAATAATCTAAAAGCTGCAGGGGCATAAAATAATCAAAAATACAGAATCACAGCAGTAAAATGAATTCTAAAAATCTAAAAAATTTAAATTCTAAAAATTTAAAATATGATCTTAAAATGCCTCGGTGAGTAAAATATTTTCCCTGGTGCCAGAAAGAAAGAACAGTAGAAGCCAAGCAAGCTGCCCTGGGCAAGCCTTTCCAGAGGTGTGGGGCCATGACCGAGGAGGCCCTGTTCTCAGCCACCACGCGCCATCTCTCAGATGGGGCAGAAAACAAAGAAGAGCCTCCAAGGGCTGTGCCAGTGAGCAGGGGGAGTTCAGTTATACCGAATACAGTAAGACCCAGGTTCCAGTCTTCACTTGGCAACAAAACTCACTTGGGCCACTCAGTATCTCTCAACTTAGCCTGTCTCACAGCACTTTTGGAGTGGGAAGAACCATGTATATGCTCTCAAGTTCCCAGGAGGAAAATGAGACTACAAAGAAATGTACTTGCAAGATGCCCACTAAAGCTTTTGCGTGTATGCAAACCTCATTTTGCGTTGTTTTGGCTGCTCCAGAATCGTGTCGCATAATTGTTGTTGATATAGAACAGCTAAGCGACCAAAACCCACTGCAGGTTCTCCAGCAACCTCCTTTCTGGACCATGCCTGGCCAAGTGGAGGAGCAAAGGACGTGGGCTGGAGAGAAGGGATGCGCACCCTGGCTTCTGCCATCGGTCAGGGGATCAGGGGTACCGGGTGGCTGCATTCTTTGTTTCGCCAGAGGAACATCGAGCCAAGGGTTGGGGCACAACCAGCCCATCATCCAGAAAAGGAGTCATTCCAAGGGGGCTTGCTTCTTCCCCTCCATCAGAAAGAACAACCAGCAGCTGCCTTGGGGGACACACAAGCAAGGGGTGGGACATGCTGGTGCCATCCATTGATCTAAGGAATAAGAGCCATGGATTTATACTGAAACAAGAACACCCACTGGAGTGGATCAGCCTGGCCTGAGGGGCACTCCAGGGCCTGCTTACAGCCCCCTACCTTGAAGGACTGTCCCCCTTCTGCCTTTTTCCTCCACCCCCCTTTCCTCGTGTGTCTTGTCACTGTAGTTTGCAAGGAGTGGGAACCTCTCTTTCTCTCTTGATGCAAGTCACATTGGGAGGCAATAATTGTCTGAAAAGCAGAGTAAAAATTAGTATTATTATTTATTAGATTTATATCCCACCGCTTTAGCCAAAATGGTTCTCTGGAAATACAACCAATAATGGTGTGGTCCTACGAAATGTCTAAACAGGAGAAAAGTCCTACAGCTCCCAGCATCCCTCCAGCCAGCAATGGGGGCTGAGGCATTCTAGGAATTGTGGGACATTTCTTCTCTCTAATTGCAATCTAAATAAATACAGTGTAAGGAAAGCTGGAAACGCACAACTGGCAGAAGCAAACTTTCCTGAAC